ATAGAATACAAATGGATTAAATTCCATATTTTAGTGGATATTCCATGATTGACATGTGGTTTGATGCTCTGTAGCAGCCATTCTGTAAAATGCATTGTTCATTAAAAATGTCTCTGGTGTTCCTTTATTATGTGTAACACCAATGAGGATCAGTAACACCAGTGACTCCTATGGAGAGACAGAAAAGTGGACATTTCTGTAGAATGACCCTTGTACTATTTTCAAGTATGTGTACATTATTAGCGTATGTCCAGTCAGCTGAATTCAATGAAAGCTATATATTACTATTATAACAATTAGCTTTGACCTCTTGACCCCAGAGCTGTCAGATATAAGCGCAGAGTAACTGAACAGAAGGCCAGAGATGATCAGCCTGATTATGTGGATGTTTACCTGTTTACTTCACTGCAGACACTCAGCTCTAATAGAAACTGTTCACCTGCATGTTGACTTCTCATCATAACGTTAATTAACATCCACATCGGAGTGATTTAACGAGCTCTCACTGCGGCACAGTGAGAGATATCAGAGCCTCCTCACCTACAGCGGCTCAATTAGGCATGAAGAGGCGACATATCTAATTACTATTCGACGTAAAAACATTACCAGTGTGTTGCTGTCATATAAAAAACCTCTTAACTCCAGAACGGCAACTTTGCTAGAGATGGAAAACTTTCTTAACATACTTCAAGACACTGGGCCTCGTTCAGAAACCGCTCTAAAGAAGAAAGCTCTTCGTAAAACCCGCTTACGCAGTTTCCATGAAGATTCTGACGTTCCCCAATTCTAATTTGGGATTTGTTCTTAGGTAAGAACAGAATCTACACACTCAAGAGCACAACAGTGAGAACAGTTCCGCGCTTTAAGAACACGTCATGAATCTGATGGAGACTTTTTCTCAAGAACATGTTTAAAAACAAACTTGGGAAGATATTGGAGAGCGAGGCCCAGTGTTTTGGTAAAGGTTCAAACCATAGCGTCCGCTCCCAAATCCAGATATGGAAGATAAGCCGTTTTGAATTTGTGATGTCACAAAAAACAACACATTTACATATATCTGCCTACCACAGTGTAGCTCCGCCCACTCATGCTGAAGTTATAAGGTGTGTTTCAGCCTGTTTTTTAAATGAGGCCCAAAACTTGATAAGATGATTTGAAAAGCAAGTAGCCTTTTGTACTTATTTGGAGCTCATTTAGGCTGCGTTCACATTACCAGGTTGAAGTGGCACAAATCCGATTTTTTGTCCTAATTTGACGCAGATCTGATGTTTTCAGGGCTGTGTCGACACAAATCTGATCTTTTCAAATCCGACCTGAGCCACTTTTATATGTGGTCCTAGATCGGATACGTATCCGATTCGTGGCCACGTGACCTTTTTGAGACGTTCAGATCGGAATTCATTTGCTTTTTTCCACTGCGCTGCGCCATCATTCAGCGTTACCATGGCAGCAGCACCGAACAGAAGTTAAAGCCTGTAAACAGTGGAAAAGCAGCTCATCTCACCTTTTTCTCCTTCGTCTCGCTCTAATAATGAAGCTGAGAGCTGATCAGAGTTAATTATCTTCTCAGCGAAGCTCGTTCTGCTCGTTAGTTTGTGCTGATGATGCTCGTGATTCATTCACGTGACGTTACTGAGTAGGATGAGCTCATGAGGGTCATTTCAGGACGCAGGTTCGTCACATTAATGACAGATTTGAGTCACCTACCTAAACGAGTGTGAACCATCGAGTCAGAGAGATCGGATTTGAGCAACGAGGCTTGTAATGTGAACGCAGCCTAAAGGCCGTTACGCACCAAACATGACAGAAAAAGACGACACAAATACTCAGACATGATTTTTCACCTCAAATCTACACTCTTAAAATTTATGGTTAGTAAAGAAAAGTGTTCTGTATAGAACCACGAACACTCAAAGAACCTTTTGCATGATTAAATGTTTCTTTGAGTGTTCATGGTTCTATATAGAACCACTGTCTTTACTAAAACCCCTGAAGAAACATCCTTGTTCAGAGTGTATAGCACCAAAAATGGCTCTTCTGCTGTTACAAGCTTGACATCATTTACACTTAAAAACATAGTTCTTCATGGGTTCTTTAGTAAAGGCAACGGTTCTGTTTAGAGGCCTATATAGAACCAATCCATGCATGGTGAACTGTGTGGTGCTGTATAGAAGCCAATTCAAAAAGGTGCTATTTAGAACCATATGCAACACATTCTCCATCAATCTGAAGAACGCTTTCACCATGCAAAGAACTATTTCAGCATGCAAAGGGTTCTTTGAGTGTTCATGGTTCTATATAGAACCATTTTCTTTACTAAAGAACCCTTGAAGAACCATCCTTTTTTAAGAGTGTACAAACACCAGACGCAATGTCAAAAGACAGGCATAATATATATCAAAAAAATATATATTATAGAATTTATATCAACTATATTAAAAAAAGTCCTTTGCTCCTCATGAAACGGACAAACTGTGACACTGTGAAAGTTCTAGTTGCTGTAATGCAGCTGTTACGTCATCTCTGTTGTCATCATGCCAACAGCAGAGGCGGCTGTGATTGATCAGTGAGTTTTTGTCACCAGTGAAAGTTTGCGAAAATCGAACAGAGGGCTAATACAATAGTGTTATTCATTTAATTTACTGTCATCCGAATAAATCACATAAATAAACCATGCTTGTTGTGTAAAGGCCTTACAGCATAAAGAGAGCCTGGAAAACAAAAATATGAGAAATGTAGGGTATGGGCCCTTTAAAATATGAGAAATGTAGGGTATCGGCCCTTTAAAATATGAGAAATGTAGGGTATCGGCCCTTTAAAATATGAGAAATGTAGGGTATGGGCCCTTTAAAATATGAGAAATGTAGGGTATGGGCCCTTTAATGTAGATTAATGTAATAAGACTGTTATAAGACTATAAATCATTTTGGGTCATTTTTACTGACCCGTTCATCCCATAGTATAAAGGACAGCATTCACTGACTGTAAATGGAAGCGTGTCCACTTAACCTGCTGCAAAGTACAGTCGTGTGAAAAAGTTTGGGCGCCCCTGGTCAAACTGATTCTCTAAGTGAAGATAAGTGAACACACTGTTTATGAGCTGAATCTAACACACTGGAATAAACAAATAAGACCTAAACTGTGGCCTGTGCAAAAGTTATGACACAGCTTTGCGTTTTATGGTGCAGATAAACGCAGTGTGTGAGTGTGTTTTTTGTAGAAGACACATTTTAACATAGAAACGAAAACGGGGACTTTGACCATATGTTTGTATATAAATGCGTCTCGGTTGTGTCACAATTCTCAATAAAAAAGAACGAAAAAATTACAATTTAAAAGTGAGCAGCTACTTTAGCACTTCAGCTCGAGTGGACCTTTAAATGCAGGACGTTTATTGTTATTAGAGCTGAAAAGTACCTGAAAGGGCTTGTGAACTTCGTCCACCACTGCCGTGTGTGTGTGTGTGTGTGTGTGTGTGTGTGTGTGCGCGCTACTTAAGGCATGTTATCCAGCCGTTTCCCTGCTGACAGAGCAGGACGGTTCTGATTGGTCAGTAGAGAGCAGAGACAGCGTGTGATTGGTCAGTACGTTGCAGAAGGGTTCTCCTAATAAGAGTGCTATTTTTAAAAGTGCTTTAAATTCGCCAAGCGAGGGGAGGGGGGGTGGGGGTGGTTGTGGGGGGCACAGACAGAGAGAGAAATAGAAAGAAGAGATTGCGGTTTTCAGCACAGTGCTAAAGAGAAGGAGGAGTGGAGGAAATCAGCAGGATTTACACTGAACATCAAACGTTTGGGGCTTTTATGTTTAGAAATTTAATACAGATAATCATGTTTTTTGCAATAACTTAACAATTTAACCCTTTAATCCTGAAAGAGTGGCTACTTCAGTGTCTTTTAGTCTTTAATAAAGTGATTTATCAATGCTGTCGTTGCAAATGCATTAGGAAACAGAGGCAGTAGGAATATTTGATGTATATATTTTATCGTGAGTGTGGGTTAATGGCCAGACAACACTTGTGTGAACTGGATTTTTTAAAAAAATAATAATTAAAACATGATAATTCATTACTGAGAATTTATTTGATAACACAGAAACACACTAGCGAGCTCAATCGTTACTACCAGAGCCAGTTTAAGGGGAGTCAGGCCACTTCATATTCCTCACATTACACAGTAAACACTAGGGGGCACCACAGAGAGTCCTCAGTGAATGGGGGTGAAAGGAGCTAAACGGCTAAACATTTGTTCATTCATATTTTTAAAGTCATTCACAGAGGATTTTTCTTTCATTTTTAAATGTGTAAGAATGCATGACACAAAATAATGAATTACAAATGACCTGTATCTTTACGGTTTTCTACAGCAAACGGGTTTTCGGCAGTAAGACACTGAGTGCTGACTGGTTAGCATTACTGCTACTGAGTGCTTATTTGTTAGCATTACTGCTCCTGAGAGCTGATTGGTTAGCATTACTGCTACTGAGTGCTGAGTGGTTAGCATTACTGCTACTGAGTGCTGATTGGTTAGCATTACTGCTACTGAGTGCTAATTTGTTAGCATTACTGCTACTGAGAGCTGATTGGTTAGCATTACTGCTACTGAGCGCTGATTGGTTAGCATTACTGCTACTTAGAGCTGATTACTTAGCATTAATGCTACTGAGAGCAGATTGGTTAGCATTACTGCTACTTAGAGCTGATTACTTAGCATTAATGCTACTGAGAGCTGATTGGTTAGCATTACTGCTACTGAGTGCTGATTGGTTAGCATTACTGCTACTGAGTGCTAATTTGTTAGCATTACTGCTACTGAGTGCTGATTGGTTAGCATTACTGCTACTGAGCGCTGATTGCTTAGCATTACTGCTACTTAGAGCTCATTACTTAGCATTACTACTACTGAGAGCTGATTGGTTAGCATTACTGCTACTGAGAGCTGATTACTTAGCATTACTGCTACTGAGAGCTGATTGGTTAGCATTACTGCTACTGAGTGCTGATTGGTTAGCTTGTCGGCTACTGAATGCTGATTGGTTAACATTACTGCTACTGAGTGCTGACTGGTTAGCATTACTGCTACTTAGAGCTCATTACTTAGCATTACTACTAATGAGAGCTGAGTGGTTAGCATTACTGCTACTGAGCGCTGATTTGTTAGCATAACTGCTTCTGAGAATGACAAGATATTTCCGCTGTGTAAACAAGTGGAATTGTTTGTATAAAAGGATTAAATATTTACAAACTACAGTTTTGCACAAGAGCTCCCTAGGAACCCATTCATTTTGGAGTCGCTCAGGAACGCCCTCTAGTGTCTGTCCAACCCAGAAGACATTACTGAGTGGCAATTCGAATCATATTAAATTATGGTTGAGGGACAGAATCATAACTTTAGGCCATTAAATTCAAGATAATTTTGTTCATTTAAGAACAGTATGTTTGCATAAAAAGACTTTGCTTACATTTCTAAAGATGCTATAATTCGAATAAGCACATTCCGGGTGTATCTGCAGCGCCCCCTAGTGGTGTCGTCAGTGCTAGCAAAAAAGCTACATTTTATGCTAACTAAACCTTTGCAGGTAAATTGTCTTCCGTTATTAAAAAAGTAACAAGAGAAAATGAAAATTTTAACAGAAAGGCACGATGTCCCCAAACGTTTGTCGGTCAGCGTATAAAAGGAGTGAATGTGGACGAAAGTGGACAGGGTTGCAAGATTTTACCCATCATCCCCCCTCGGGCGTGTGTGTGTGAGGATGTGGTTCGGAGTGTGTGTGGGCGTGCTGAGGGTGTGTGTCTGTGTGTGTGTGAGAGTGTGAGTGTGTGTGCGAGTGTGTGTCAGGAGCGGGCGGAGACTCTGCGGCGCTCTCTGAAGGAAACAGCTGCATCAGCGCCCCCTCCTGGCCACCCTCTTTACTGCAGGACTGGCAGCTGCAGTGCAGGATTCGCTCCACTAACTTATCCACCCGTGGTGCGTCGGCACTGCCCGGACACTCCAGAGTCACCTGCGCACACACACACACACACACACACACACACACACACACACACCATTAACAATAATGTTTCTGTTTCACTCTGATATCTGCAATTATTCAAATACAAACTTTTATTATTACTTAAAGCTGCACTATGTAAGATTATGTTGTTAAACCTGAAAGAAGTGTCGTTTCTGAGTGAAGAGAATATAAACAGGCTAAAATACGGCGCTGCTGCTGTGAGTCGCCCTGTAAAGCCTGAAATAATCATTTAAAAGTCAGAGGCGTCGAGTTTTTCACACCACGTCGTACGTCTTTACGTATTAACATCACACACAGACTCAAAAAGAAGATCCAGCTCGATGTTTCGGCCTCAAATGATCTCGAATCAACATCATACTGATAAAGATATGATGACAGTAATAGATAATTCACTCAAAATGTTCTGTGTGCAATTACACATTTCCACCAGAGAGGTCTCCAAATCCCCACATCAGTTTTAATGTAATGGACTGAATATATAACATGTACCATTTATTTATTGACAACAATATTTATCTTCTTCACACAGACACACAGGCATATGTGTAAAATACACAAGCATAAACGACAGTGAGGTAATGAGAATTACCACACACACACGTTTGTCTTGCTATACATTTGAGGACGTCCATAGGTTTCCCTTGGTTTTTGTGTTACTGTAGCCAAATTATACTACACCTAAACCTAAACCTAACCCTAACCTTAACCTCAGTATCCAAAAGGCAATTTTTCTGCTCTTTTAGTTTTAAAATAAAAAAGTAATTGTGGTGAAAACAACACATGCGAGCAAAAATTTCTTATAGTCCTATGATAGTCCTATCATAGCGAGGACATGGGGTCCTCACAAATACAGCAATACAAGAACACACTAATTTGTGTCAAACTGTGCCTTTGGAGCCCCCTAGTGGCCAGTCTATATACATAACCACAGTTAAGTGTGGTGGATTGACTGTTTGCCTCTGACTTCCCTCCCTCGTCAACCTGCTCGTTGTCCATAACATGCAAGTATAATTATTTAGGATCAAAAACAACAAATGAGAGTCCCTGTTTTCTTCCTTGCTGTCTCTGTGCCTGTAGACATCACGTATAAATGGCTCTACCTCTGGAAATGCCCCCTCACGCAAGGTCTATACCAGTGGTCTCCAGCCCTGGTCCTGATCTACCTTCCTGCAGAGTTTAGTTCCAGCCAGTGTCCAATAAGCTGCCCCGCCCCCTTAATTAACTTTAGTACATCTGATCCAGCCAATCAGGCACTTGGGAAGAGGCTGATTAGCTGGAGCAGGTGTGGCAGATTGTATATTGTAGAACTAGGCCCTGCAGGTAGGCAGATCTCCAGGACCAGGTTTGGAGACCACTGGTCTACACTATAGTTATACTTCTCACAAGTACTGCAATACAAGTACGCACACAAACACACAGTCATATGCAATAGTTTGAACACTCAAGTCAGATTACATGTTGTGTTGAATTTCTAAGTGAAAATAACAA